ACTAAGCTCTTCATTGGTGGTAATTATAGGACATCATAATCGATGTCCCAGCAAAGAACTGTTATCATGTAAATCAAGACTGGGGGGGGGGGACGGACAGGCATCCAGCCGTTTTCTTATCAATGGTAGGTTAGACAGGATTGATTTTCTTTTTCATTTTTTTATCCCCATGCAACAGCAAGAGGCTGCATTTGTTGAATGCATTTCTGCAGTCCAAATTTCCTCCGCTTTGCCTGCTTTTGCAACCAGTTTCTGGGAAGAGGGAGGGGCCTTGGCTCAGCAGCAGAGCATCTGCTTGGCACGCAGAAGGTCCCAGGTTCAATCCCCGGCATCTCCGCAGTTAATTGAGCCAGTTTAGTGTAGTGGTTAAGTGCACATACTCTAATCTGGGAGAACTGGGTTTGATTCCCCACGCCTCCACTCGCAGCTGCTGGATGACCGCTACATGTTTTTTTGGGGCGCTTTAAAAAGCTGCCTTTTGCCCGTCCCCCCCCCCCCCCCCCCGTGTGGCAGGGGCCGAAGCTGCCTTATACTGGTTCAGAGCCTGGCACCGTCTATCTCAATGTTGTCTGTCTATTCTAAAAGTTGCAGTATCACTAGTGATCCCCCCCCGTCAGCTGGTAGAGCAGGGGACAATCACTATGTTGGCAGGATAGCCGGGCCACACAGCCTATGTCTTCTAATAGTCAAGTGTGGACTACAGATACTTCAGTCCGCAGACAAGGGCTGCACTGATATAAAGCAGATAGTTCTGCAAACTTTGAGGAACCCCCAGGTTGGCAGAACAAACTGAAAACCTAAGAATATTTCATAGGGGCTGGTTTACATGGATCTCCCCAGTTTGGTGTCGTGCTTAAGTGCACGGACTCTAATCTGGGAGAACCGGGTTTGATTCCCCACTCCTCCACTTGCACCTGCTGGATGACCTTGGGCAAGCCGTAGTTCTGATAGGATCTGACCTTGCAAAAGAGCCGTTTCTCTTAGAGCTCTCTCAGCCCCACCTACCTCACAGGGTGTGTGTTGCGGGGAGGGGAAGGGAAAGGAGATTGTAAGGTGCTCTGAGACACCTTCGGGTAGTGAAGGGCAGGATATAAATCCAATCTCTTCTTCTTCTCTCTTCTCTTTGCTTTACGATTGCAACGATCTTGTGAGGTGAGTCGGGCTGGGAGAGAGTTACTAGCCAAAGGTCACACCATGTTCAACATGGGAGAGGGGAAATATGAGCCCTGGTCTTCCTAGTCCTAGTCTGGTGCTCTAATAATAATAATTGTATGATCTTGTGTTTAATGTAGCCCGGAGATCCTGAGATTGTCTGGCAGCCAGAAGTTCTAGCTCTTTTGTCATTATGCACCACTAGGTGGCGAGCTAGACTTGTTTTTGAGGCAGGAGATGTCTCAGAAATGGTTTGCCATGGCCTGCCTTTGCGTCATGACCCTGGTATTCCTTGGAGGTCACCCTTCCAAATACTAACCAAGGCCAACCGTGTTTAGCTTCCGAGATCAGGCGGGATTGGGCTAGCCTGGGCTATCCAGGTCAGGGTTCTGGTACTCTAACTACTATACCACACCACACTGTGCTCCAGGTACGCCAAGAGGCTGGTGGCATTAAGGAGGTTCGGTGGTGTCAACTGAGTCCTCTCCAGTGTTCCCTCTAAGCTGTGTTGGTGTGAGCCAGCTCACAGATGTTTAGCCTCCGTCTCACACATTTCTGTCCTAGCTCCGGAAGGAGGGCTCCAAAGCAAACTGATTTATGCAGCAATCCAATCGCTCACTCGCAACTTTAATGCCAGGGGCTCACAAAGTAGAATTTTTGCTCACAAGACTCCACATCTTAGAAGGAGCCCTGGTCCTCTCTGGTCTGAATTGATCCTTCCCTGTTCATCCCATGAAGAACGTGTGCTTTTCTGTCTTCAGATTAGAGCATCTTCTGTCTCCCTCCCGAATAGGATCCCATGAAGAACGCGTGCTTTTCAGATCAGAGCATCTTCTGTCTCCCTCCCGAATAGGGGTAGTTCACCTGTGAAATGATTCAGTGCGGAGACGATCATCTTATCATGAAGGCCTCCAGCTGTGGAATATCTGCGTGCCAAAAGGAGCCTGATCAAAAGGGGGGTTATTAAAAGAATAAAAATAGGCTGCTCAGCAGCAGATCAGATGTAGACTCCGGGGGGGCCTGTATTTAGCATGGCAGCTGTCTCGGGTTGGGTGGGCTGGATGAGGAAGACGGATGCCGAGTCGCTCGTTGGGGGGAGGCATTCTCGCTCACCTGGTAGGGGTCATCAGGGGGTAAAGTGTGTCGAATGCAGAAGCATCCTTTTAAAATCCCAAGGTCCTTCCGACGAGACTAGTCAGTGATTGCTGAACCAGCAGGGTCCAAATTTGTAACAGTTTACTTCTAACAGGTGAGCAGACGTCCTTTGGAAAACCCCAACCATTGGAAGAAGATCCCTTCCTCCATTGGAAAATTCCTCGTAGTGGAAGGGAACCACTGGATCCCACTGGCCACAGAGCCCCGGGGAAGGAGAGGTGCTGAGCCCGTTTGGTGTAGTGGTGAAGTGCGCGGACTCTAATCTGGGAGAGCCGGGTTTGATTCCCCACTCCTCCACTTGCACCTGGCTGGATGGCCTTGGGCAAGCCATAGTTCTGACAAGAGCTGTGCTTGAAAGGGCAGTTCTCAAGAGAGCTCTCTCAGCCCCACCTACCTCACGGGCAGTGTTCCCTCTAAGCTGAGTTAGTGTGAGCTAGCTCACAGTTTTTTAGCCTCTGGCTCACACATATTTGTCTTCGCTCAGGAAGGGATGGCTCCAGAGCAAGCTAATTTATACAGTCGCCAAATCGCTCACTCACAACTTTAATGCCAGTGGCTCACAAAGTAGAATTTTTGCTCACAAGACTCTACAGCTTAGAGGGAGCATTGCGCATGGGGTGTCTGCTGTGGGGAGGGGAAGGGAAAGGAGTTTGTAAGCCGCTCTGAGACTCCAAGGGAAGGGCAGGGGATAAATCCAATCTCTTCCTCTTCCTCTTCTTCTTCTGGGGTAGAACATCCGCTTGGCATGCAGGAGGTCCCAGGTTCAGTCCTCGACATCTCCAGTTAAAAGGACCAGGCAGGAGGTGATGTGGAAGACATCAGCCTGAGACCCTGGAGAACCACTGCCAGTCTGAGTGGGCAGTAGTTACCCAGGTTGACAAATGGTCTGATTCAATACAAGACAGCTTCATGTGTGTTTCCTGTGTGATTCTGGGAGATTCAGAAATTGGCAGAGCCTCTGCTTGGCATGTAGAAGGTCCCAGGTTCAATCCCCGGCATCTCCAGTGAAAAGGACCAGGCAGGAGGTGATGGTAAAGAACAGCGGGAATGCTGTTTGGTAAACCTTGTGGACCAATCTTCAATTTGTATTGTTTTTCCCAAGTCCTTCATCCAAAGGATCATTACCTTCTTTATGTTTTCATCTAATAAATAGTCCTCCAGGAGGAACAGATATGATTTTTGAATGAGTTTATCATTTGTGGACAACCAAATTTTGTCCAAGTCGGTTTGAGTATTTACAAATTCCCCGTTTTTATCTTTATTATATCTATCTTGGACTAACATTTTCTCCCACCATGTTAAATGGATATTTTTGTCTGCTAATCTTTCTAAAGGTCTCAGTTTATTATCTTCATCTAATAGTACATCATATGGTATAGCTTTTTCTTTTGTCATTAATTTTGTATTAATGAATGCCTCCAGTGGGGACACCCATCTTGGTATTTTGTTGTAAAATCTATGTTTCATTTCTTTCCACACCTTGATTAATGCAGCTCTAATAATGTGGTTATGGAAATTTGAGTGGACTTTATCTTTTTCGTACCATAAGTACGCGTGCCACCCCATGTATATGTCAGCCTGAGACCCTGGAGAGCTCTTGCCAGTCTGAGTGGACAGTAGTTACCGAGGTTGACAAATGGCCTGATTCAGTATCAGAGAGCTTCATGTGTTCAAAGTGGACAGAAGTCCAATTAAACTTCAGAATTAGCAAGATTCAAGGAAGTCTCAGAGTACTTCAGTAGTTACTGAAAACCAAGTTAAAATATTGGTCACCAAGCAAATGATTCTAAAAGCACATGTGGGCCTGAGCAGTTTCTATATATCAAGCAAAGCAAAGGGGTGATCTTGGGCACACAACCCACTCCAGAATAGTCCTGATGGAATGCGAAGCCAAAAAGCGGGAATGCTGTTTGGTAAACCTTGTGGACGATCCGTTCCGCTGGCATCATTATTACTATGATTAGCAGTACTATGCAGGATATGGGAATATCCGTAGATACTTAAGGGTTGGGGCATCCAGATATTTAAGGGATTATTTCAAAAATAATCCAAGCATGCCAAAACTGATTAGGTTTTGATAATTCACTGATGTTATGCAACCTGCCTCTTATCTAACTGCGAACATCTCAGTCACTGTCTCCTCCGTGGCTTAAAAGTTCTTGTCTTTCTTTTTCTAAACATATTGAGGAGAGGGGCTGTGGCTCAGTGGTAGAGAATCTGCTATGTGTGCAAAAGGGCCCCAGGTTCAATCCCCGGCATCTCCAGTGAAAAGGACCAGGCAGGAGGTGATGCGAAAGACCTCCGCCTGAGACCCTGGAGAGCTGTCAAGAGGGGCTGTGGCTCAGCGGCAGAGCCTCTGCTTGGCACGCAGAAGGTCCCAGGTTCTGTCCCTGGCCTCTCCAGTCAAAAGGACCAGGCAGTCGGTGATGTGAAAGACCTTGATCCAAGACCCTGGAGAACTGTAAAGAGGAGCTGTGGCTCAGTGGCAGAGCCTCTGCTTGGCATGCAGAAAGTCCCAGGTTCAATCCCCGGCATCTCCAGTCAAAAGGGCCAGGCAGGAGGTGATGGGAAAGACCTCCCCCTGAGACCCCGGAGAGCTGTTGACAGTCTCAGTAGACAATACTGACCATGATGGACGAAAAGTCTGATTTGGCGTAAGGCCGCTTCATGTATACATTTGTTCCTTTCAACAGGACGTCAAAGTATATGGGAAAGGGAATCCAATAAAAGTCATAGCCGTGGACTGTGGATTAAAGCACAATGCTATTCGTTTGCTCGTAAAGGTAAGTCCTCAACAGCTTTCTCTTCTGAGAGCCAGTTTTATTATTTTAGTGTAGTGGTTAGGAGCGTGGACTCTAATCTGGGAGGACCGGGTTTGATTCCCCACTCCTCCATCTGCAGCTGCTGGGTGGCCTTGGGCCGGTCACAAGTTCTCTCAGAGCTGTTCTCTCAAGAGCAGTCCTTGGAGGAGCTCTCTCGGCCCCACCTACCTCACAGGGTGTCCGTTGTGGGGAGAGGAAGGGAAGGAGATTGTAAGCCGCTCTGAGACTCCAAGTGCCAGCCGGGGTATAAATCCAATCTCCTCCTCCTCCCCCTCCTCTCCTCCCCCTTCCTTCTTCTGGAAGAAAATGTGGGAGGGCTGTTCCTTTCAGCATCCCCTGCTTGTGGGTCTCCTGGGAGTATGTGGTAGGGCATTGCGGGATGCTTGAGCTACGCACTGGGCATCCAGAACCAAAGAAAGAACCTGAATTTGTCCCTGCACTTGGCTCTCTTGCACTGCATTCTTCAGCCCCCCTGGGTTTAGGGGACATCGATGCCACGAGTTTGGTTACCTGGTCTTTGTTTGTCCCCAGAGAGGTGCTGAGGTGCACCTGGTCCCTTGGAATCATGACTTCACCAAGATGGACTACGATGGACTCTTCATTTCTGGTGGCCCCGGGGATCCCACCCAAGCAAAAGAGCTCATCGAGAATGTCAGAAAGGTAGACAATATTCACCGGGATCTTCCTTTCCCTTGTGATCAACATGTTGCAGTCCCGCAAACTTACATTTCCCATCTTGCAATGCAGTAGCATAACTGGGAGATACCTGCATTCTTTAAATCTCCATTCTTACGCTGCCCTCTGTGCATCAGTGAAAACTCCTCCCCACTTTTTGCTTTTCTACATTAAAACCAATTGCTCTGCAGCCCCTGTGCCCCTCCAGAGTCATTCTGGAGTCTCCGTTGACTGCCGTGAGCAAAGATTTTGGGGGTGTCGCTGGAGAAACTGGTAACACCCCCCTCTCTGTATGAGCAGTAAGAACAGAAAAACACAAGAAGAGCCATGCTGGATCACAGTGGTCCATCCAGTCCAGCCTCCCGTCTCACGCAGGGGCCAACCAGTTCCTCTGGAGGGCCAACAACAGGGCACGGAGGCCGAGGCCTTCCCCTGAGAAGAACATCAGAAGAGCCCTGCTGGATCAGACCAGTGAGGGTCCATCTAGTCCAGCATCCTGTCTCAGGCAGTGGCCAACCAGTTCCCCTTGGACAGCCAACAACAGGGCACGGAGGCCGAGGCCTTCCCCTGAGAAGAACATCAGAAGAGCCCTGCTGGATCAGACCAGTGAGGGTCCATCTAGTCCAGCATCCTGTCTCAGGCAGTGGCCAACCAGTTCCTCTGGAGGGCCAACAACAGGGCAGGGAGGCCGAGGCCTTCCCCTGAGAAGAACCAAAGAAGAGCCCTGCTGGTTCAGACCAGTGAGTGGTCCATCTAGTCCAGCATCCCATCTCAGAGAGTGGCCAACCAGTTCCTCTGGAGGGCCAACAACAGGGCAGAGAGGCCGAGGCTTTCCCCTGAGAAGAACATCAGAAGAACCCTGCTGGATCAGACCAGTGAGGGTCCCTCTAGTCCAGCATCCCATCTCAGTAAGTCCTTTAAATCTAAGCCAGAGACTCTTGTGAGAGCCAGTTTGGTGTAGTGTTTACGTGCGCGGACTCTAATTTGGGAGAACTGGGTTTGATCCCCCACTCCTCCACTCACAGCTGCTGGATGACCTTGGGCAAGCCATAGTCCTGTCAGAACTGTTCTCTCAAGAGCAGTCTCTGTCAGAGCTCTCTCAGCCCCACCTACCTCACAGGGTGTCTGTTGTGGGGAGGGGAAGGGAAAGGCGTTTGTAAGCCGCTCTGAGACACCTTTGGGTAGTGAAGGACGGGGTATAAATCCAATCTCCTCCTCCTCCTCCTCCTCCTCCTCCTCCCTTTACTTTTAGAACTGATAAGATAGAAAAGTCAATCACGTGCGCTTTCCCTAATGTTGCTCTTTGAGAGAGAAAAAGCTGTGCTATGAGACATTTCTCCCTGTCCCTTAATTTTTAAAGAGAAGCTTGACAATATGGCCTGGGAAGGAATGTAGTCTTGATATATGCAGAAAATGTCTACTGTTCACTTTGCGTGCCGTGATTCATCTCTATGGAACCCTATTCTTCATCAGGCCTTTCTTCCGTCCAGGTTCTAGAGAGCGGCCGCCGAGAGCCTCTGTTTGGAATCAGTCTGGGGAACCTGGTCATGGGCCTAGCTGCCGGCGCTTCCTTGTACAAGATGCCCATGGCTAACAGGTACGTTGACCTGGGAGCTGTGCCCATGTCTGTGCGTGTGACTGCAGCATCCACAAGAGCGGAGAGTCCTGCTCATTTCTTCTCTCCTCCTCTTTCCTCCTCCTGCCAATCTTGGATTTTTTTTTGGGGGGGTGCTGTTTATTCCCGTGGCCATCCCTACATCCTCTGGCAGAAAATCCCACATTTTAATCACACTCTGTGTAAAGTGGTATTTCCTTTTGTCCATCCTGAACCTCCTGCCCATCAGCTTCATTGGATGCTCTCAAGTTCCAGTCTTTTAGGAGAGGGAGAAAAATTTCTCTTTGTCAGCTCTCTTCACCCCATGCATAATTCTATAAACCTCTCTCATGTTCCCCCCCCCCCCTTATGAACTTTTTCTCCAATCCACTTGACACTTGGGTAATCTTTAGCAGAGAAGGTGGACTAGATTCCTTGATATTTTGATACCATTTTGTGAAAAAAATGTCTGCTCAGGAAAACACGGGCTAAACTGTGCAGAACTGATTTATTCAAGAGGGTGTTTTTATCCAGGTAATAGGACTGTACTGTACAAAATGGTTTTACAAAGTTACTTGGATAGGGCTCAGTGGCAGAGCCTCTACTCAGCATGCAGAAGGTCCCAGGTTCAATCCCCGGCATCTCCAGTTAACAGGACCAGGCAATAGGGGATGTGGGAAGACCTCAGCCTGAGACCCTGGAGAGCCATAGACAGGGGCCATAGTTCAGTGGCAGAGCCTCTGCTTGGCATGCAGAAGTTCCCAGGTTCAGTCCCCGGCATCTCCAGTTAACAGGACCAGGCAGGAGGTGATCTAATCCAATTAACATGAAAACCACCGTTTGATGAAACAGTTGTTCCGCAGAACATTTCCATATCATTTCCATACAAACTGTATTCCTTGTACGGTCCAGTTGACAAAATGTCGGCGTTTTACCAAGAAACCCAGCTGCGTATCATCTTTCCACCAAACTGGGTAGAAACCATGATGAAAACTAGAGCAAAAATCAAGAGGGTAAAGGGTAGAAACCACCACTGCAAAATATCTGGGAGTTCTGCCCATAAACCCAGGAGACGAGAAGTCACTCCGTCCAAGCCCAAGTTCTCCCAGCTTATTAAGTGGGGATAAAAAGTATCTACTTCATCTGATTACTGTGAAGATTACAGACCTTGGCCCGTGATCCTGGAGAGCCAGTGTAGCTCAGTGGTAGATCATCTGCTTGGCATGCAGAAGGTCCCAGGTTCAATCCCCGGCATCTCCAGTTAAAAAGGACCAGGCAGGAGGTGATGGGAAAGACCTCTGCCTGAGAACCTGGAGAGCTGTAAAGAGGGGCTGTGGCTCAGTGGAAGAGCCTCTGCTTGGCATGCAGAAGGTCCCAGGTTCAGTCCCCGGCATATCCAGTTAAAAGGACCAGGCAGGAGGTGGTGGGAAAGACCTTTGCCTGAGACCCTGGAGAGCTGCTTCCAGCTTGAGTAGACAACACTGAGCGTAATGGACCAAGGGTCTGATTTGGTATAAGGCAACGTCATGTGGAGATAAATTTTTAGGGATTGTGGTCTATACTACTGTGCCCAGCTTGCTGTAAATAGGATCCTACTACGTAATTCTTGTGTCATTTAATGTGTCATGTTCATAATTATGCTTTTGTGTCAGTGCTATTTTTTAAATTTCTGGTGGGCGCCAGGCTTCTACAATCCTAATCTGATCGCATTGTTCATTGAATTTCCCATTCTGTTGATCGTACTAACTCGGTCTGTCTAATCTGCCTTGGGTCCTTGCGAGAAAGTCGGGATATCGATAACGTAAAGAAATAAAATACATTTTGAATTGGGGGGCTGAAAATGAAAAGGATATGATGCGTTTTAGCGAGTTAAATCGCATCCGGCACATTTATGCCAGAAAGCTCCTTGCAGAGCTAAATCCAAGGATATCATTGAGTCATCCTGGAGTCCAACATTTCAAACATTGTTCTCCTGCCCTCTTGTCAAGGAGCCAGGCAGAAGGAAACTTGTCGGTCTGCAGGAAGGGAGGCGCTCCTTATTCACTTTCATTCTTACTGAGATGATTGTGGAGGCATTTGAACATACGAAGCTCTCGAATCTTAATGAAGCCAGGCTGGTGACAATCAGGGCCAGGGCCTTCTCGGTGGCAGCTCCCTCCTGGTGGGATGAGCTCCCGGAGGAGATCAGGGCCCTGTGGGGACCTCTTACAGTTCCGCAGGGCCTGTAAAACAGAGCTCTTCTGCCAGGCCTTTGGAGCCGCCGCCACCTCTAACAACTAGGATAAGAAGACCCGTTGCCTCTGGAATTTATATCGACAGCCTGTGCCAGCCGCTGGAAGACATCTGAAAGACACCTGCAGAAGACGAGAGCTGATGGTAGCCATCACGACTTCAATAACAGCAGAATTAGCACTTATCATGGATTTGTGATGGCTTTAATATTGTTTTAAATGGTTTATTGTACTATTTTAATGTTTTTGTGATTTTATGTCAGCCGCCCTGAGCCATGCCGGCCATGCCTGGGAGGGCTGGGTACAAATTTGAAGAATAATAAAAAAACAGAGCCCACCCTCCAAAGCAGCCAGGTGAAGTGATCTTTGTCGTCTGTAGAGCAGTTGCAGTGCTGGAATATCTCCAGTCCCTCCCTGGAGGTTGGCAACCCTATCGGCAATGCACAGTGCAGTATGTGACTTCTGCATGCGCCAGTGTGTTATTTAATTGTGGTCTTTTGTCTTGGTCTTCACGCCCCCCTCCCCTCCCCTTCCTCCTCCCAACCCACCGCTTCCCCGTGTTCTCCGATGTGCATCTCTCTCTTTAGAGGACAGAACCAACCAGTTGTGAACACGATAAATGGACAGGCTTTCATTACGGCTCAGAATCACGGCTACGCGATTGACAGCCGCTCCCTCCCTCCCGGCTGGAAGCCTCTCTTTGTGAACGCCAACGATCAGACAAATGAGGTGAGCCTCCCTCTGTCTGGGTACCTGTGAAGGATGCAATGGGACGGGGAAGAGGAATTGTACGCTGCGCTGCTCCTGTGGCAGCCAGGCTGTTGTTGGGTCTCCCTAGGCGGGAACACATCCCGCCTGTGCTGAAAGCACTGCACTGGCTGCCTATAGAGTACGGAATTTGGTTCAAGGTGCTGGTACTTACCTTTAAAGCCCTTTATGGCCAGGGACCTGCATACCTAAGGGACCGCCTTTCTCCACATGATCCCCAGAGAGCACTGCGATCTGGTTCCCAAAATTGCCTGGTTCTTCCAGGCCCCAGAGAAGCCAGGCTTAAGAACATAAGAGAACATAAGAGAAGCCTATGTTGGATCAGGCCAATGGCCCATCCAGTCCAACGCTGTCACACAGTGGCCAAAAACACCAGGTGCCATCAGGAGGTCCAGCAGTTGGGCCAGGACATGAGAAGCCCTCCCACTGTGCCCCCCCAGCACCAAGAATACAGAGCATCCCTTGCCCCAGACATAAGAGAACATAAGAGAAGCCAATGTTGGATCAGGCCAATGGCCCATCCAGTCCAACACTCTGTCACACAGTGGCCAAAAATACCAGGTGCCATCAGGAGGTCCATCAGTTGGGCCAGGACACAGGAAGCCCTCCCACTGTGCCCCCCCCCAGCACCAAGAATACAGAGCATCCCTTGCCCCAGACCTATCTATACCTTGGGGCTAATAGCCACGGATGGACCTCTGCTCCATATGCTTATCCAATTCCCTATGATGAGGTTTTCAAAACGAAACAAACATTCCCCCCAAAAGAAAAAAAAATAGGCATGGGGGGGGGGGAGGGAAAAAGCTGTGACCAGTAGGGATGGGCTCAAACTAGAAAAATACAATTCATGTGGGTTCATGGCCGAACCACGAACCGAACCGAATTGGGAGGTTTGCAAACCGAACCAGTTTGTGGCCCCACAAGCCCTGTCGAAAGACAGTCCCTTTAAATGGGGCTTTCAGAAAGCCCAGCTGAGCAACAGGGAGCAGCCTGCCAGGGTCCCTTTAAACCCCTGCTTTCTGCTCTATCCATGTACCACCACAAATGGTCATGAACTGCTTTAAACGTTCATGGAAGTTCGTGACAGTAGACCTGTCACAAACTTCCATCGGCGAACCATGAACAGGGCAAAATTCGTAATGAGTTTTTGTTTCATGGTTCAGTTCATGAGCATCCCTAATGACCACAACTTGCATAGAATTACAGAATCATAGAATGTTAGAGTTGGAAGGGACCTTACAGGTCATCTAGTCCAACCCCCTGCACTCTGCAGGAGCAGAGCCAAAAGAGAGCCCTACAACATACCCGAAAGATGGTTGTCCAGCCTCTGCTTGAAAACGTCCAGTGGTTTTTCTCTTGGGAAATTAACCCCCCCACACACCAGTTATTCAACTCAGTCTCAAGATTAATTGAAGCTTGTTAGTTCCATTTAAGACAGAGCAGAAGTAAGACTGTTGTGGTAGTCTGTCCATGGCAAAGATTTCTGGTGACGTACTCCAGACAGAATCTTTAGAAGGCCATTAGGGCAACTGTATTGTTAGGGAACTTGGACTTGTGATGCTGAAGTGGCCGATTCAACATTCTTCTCTTGTTCTCCTTGGGGCTCCTGCCTTTTGTTGTTAGGCTATGTTTCAGCACACCTGCCAATGCCTCTTTTCTTGGGTGTTTTCTGACAGCACCCGAGAAGAATACCTTTACAGCTGCCTGCTGCCCTATCCTTCTCTCCGAAGTGTCTGTTCCACCCCCACCCCTAGAAGTATCAATGGGTTGGACTAGCCACACTGCCCAGTCAGGTGAGGGTTCCCATTTGCCCACTTATGGCGGGAGACCTGATGGGCGGGAGGAAACTGGGGCAAAATGGAGGAGAGGCGCAATCATTTTGGAAGAAAAATTGAAAAAGAAAAAAAATTAAAAGAAAAACAAGGTCTCACAAGATTACCACAGAGTTTCTGGCCGTTCCTAGAGCCACCCTTGTGACTTCCTGGAAACTCTAGGAATTGCCAGGAATTCTATGGTCAAAACTTGCTGTAAGTAGACAAGGCCTTATTTCCCTTTTAAATTTGTCTTCCAGCGTGCTGCCCTCCCCCCCAACCCTCTCACCAGTGGCCAGGCACTGCCTGGCAACCCGATTGCAGGCGTAGAGGAATCGTTCTGACATTGCTGGTTTCGATGTGTCATTTTATAAGCTGGTTTGCCCTCATTCCTTAAGCCAACCCAGCCAGGCCCATTTTTCTCGGAGGAAAGAAAGGATATAAATATTTCAGACAGGTGACATGTGGAAATAATCTCTCAAGGTAGGTGTTCGTGTACCCCAGGATTTGTCTAGAGTGGTTCTCAACCTTCCTAATGCCCGCGACCCTTTAATACAGTTTCTCATGTTGTGGTGTAAAAGGTAAAGGTTCCCTTGCTCGAAAGCCAGTCGAATCTGACTCTAGGGTTGCGGTGCTCATCTCCGTTTCAAAGCCGAAGAGCCAGCG